AAAAAAAAAAAAAAAAAACCAAGAGAACATAATGCTTAAGAAATTCTGGGTTATGAAAATTTCTTAATTACAGAATTTTTGAAGCCATCATATATAGTGAAACATTCAAAAGATTTCCTTTTCTAGGAAATCTTCCTGTAGTCAAATGCAAGTATAGCTAAGCTTCTAGTATACTTTAGCCTAGGGCAGAATGGGTAAGGATGCATTGGTCAAGACCCTTCCATCTACTAGTTTCATGGAGAAGAGCAATAGCCAGCCTTTCTTCACCCAAGGAAATAATCACCTAGATTCCCACATGACACCTTTGGAACCATCAGTGAGGTAGAGCTGATAAGGAGAATGCCCCCCCGCCATTCCATGTTCCTTATACACACCATACCTTCCCAGGAGGCAAGATAATACGACAGGCCATGTCCCAGGTCAGGGAGAACATGACAGGCATGAAGTGGGATACAAAGGGCTTGTGGCGACCACCCTCCTCCTTGCTAAGAATGTAAACCTGGAGGAGAGAAAGCAGTAGAGTTAGGCTTGGCTGGAAGTACTGCCTCTGTGCAAAGGACAGGTGGGCTCAGTCCTGCCCACTACCACCTGGCACCCTCACCTGTGCCTCCACCTTCTGATGGGGCTGGATGGAACCAGGCTTGACCATGACAAGGCCACGCCTCAGATCCTCCCGCTTCAAGCCTCGGACCAGGGCCCCAAGGTTATCCCCTGCCTCTGCCCTCTCCAAGCTCTTGTGGAACATCTCAATGCCTGTGGGGAAGAGAGAAAGGAGGGAGAAGGGACAAGGTAGGAGAATCTGAAGCAAAAGGAAGCCACAAAGGGTTTGTAAGGGGTAAGGTTATCCTGGAGCCAGCCATTGGGTTCCAAGGCATCTTTCCTATACCTGTCACCACAGTGCGAATGTTCTTGCTATGTCCAAGCAACTCACACTCGTCTCCCTTCTTTATAATGCCACGCTCTAGTGTACCTGTCACCACCGTGCCTCGGCCTAGAAGGGAATAGGACAAAACATCAAAGACCATGGGCTAAGCTTTAACTTAAAAAAGGGAGTGTGAACAAGCAGTTCTTACCAGGGATGGAGTAAACAGACTCAATAGGCAAGAGGAAAGGCTTATCCAGGTCCCGGGTAGGCACTGGGATATAAGTGTCCACAGCTTCCAGAAGCTTCTGCACAGACTTCAGGCCCAGCTCAGGGTCACGCTGCTGTTGGAGGAAAGCAACAACACACTATAACCTCCATTCTGCTCCTCTTACCAAGACTCATTCCCCAGTTACAGCAGAGCTCTGAATGTTCAACCCAACCCCATCCTCTGCAGCAGCAGTCTCTGCCTAACTCTTCCTTCACCTCAAGGGCACAGAGAGCAGAGCCTACGATGACCGGGGTCTCATCTCCTTTGTAGCCAAACTCATTGAGCAGTTCACGGATCTCCAGCTCAACTAGCTCCACCACCTCAGAGTCCTGCACTGCATCTGCCTTGTTCACATACACCACGACATGCTCTACCCCAATCTGTAGACAGGAAAGAGACAAAAATAATGTCCAGTATGGCCCTGTTCCTCCTCTTTCTCTTTCCGCCCCTATCCAGGCTCCACGTACCTGTTTGGCCAGTAATAAGTGCTCTCGAGTCTGGGGCATGGGGCCATCATTGGCTGCCACCACCAGGATGCAGCCATCGAGGGGAGCAGTGCCTGTGATCATATTCTGGGTAGGAGAAAGAAAGGAAACACAGCCAAGATCAATGATCTCCTCTGCTCCACATCCGTCTAGCCAAGTGTAGCAGTTAGAAACAGAAGTTCCCTTTTCTCTGCCTTCTCACCACACCCACTTTGGCCATGTCAACAAATCTGACATCCAAACATATTGAATACCTTAATCTCCTCCCTCCAAGCCTAGCATCCTGACTGGAAGCAGCCCTGTTCCCAGTGTCCCCAGTAACCTTCACCTTAACGTAATCTGCATGACCAGGGCAGTCTGTGTGAGCGTAGTGGCGGGTGGCAGTGCTGTATTCCACGTGGGCTGCATTGATGGTAATACCCCGAGCTCGCTCCTCAGGGGCATTGTCAATCTCCTCATATTTCTTGAACTTGGCCCCACCTCCCTCTGCTAGAACTAAAGAAGAAAGAGAATACACCTCTCAGCTAATTTCAGAACTAGAAGCAGGGAACAGGACACATCACTGGGTCCCTCCCACTTAGACACCTCTAGGACAAAGGCTCTGCTTACAGAGCATTCCCCTTGGATAGAAGGGAGGCCATTCAGGGTCACCCAATTTATGCATCATAGTTCTTTATGTTCAGGTGAAATCTGTCTTCTGCGTCTTCCAATCCACCCCACGCCCGATTCAGGATCCTCCAGCAGACAGTCTGCTGGGCCCATATCCCCAGCTCCAGGTCTGGGACACTGCCGGCCGCCCACACCCCAAGCCCGCTCACTCTTCGTGATGGCCGCAGTCAGTGTAGTCTTGCCATGGTCCACATGGCCGATGGTACCCACATTCACATGGGGCTTGTCGCGCACGTAAGTCTTCTTGGCCTCCACCGCCAGACCGCGGGTCAAGACAGGTAACGCCGAGGACTTCAGCGGCCGCAACAAACCCTGTAGTAGTGGGATCGGACCGGCACTGAGACCTGCTAGGACAGAGGTTTGGAGTCAGGACCTGAGTCTGAACCCGGTATCTGCGACGCCCCCCGCGTGTCCCTGATCTCTCACCGCTGAGGCGGGGCGTCGCACGCAGCAGGGTGGCGGCCGCCATCGTGGTCGTATTCGAGCCCCGGGTACTGGGTATCGGAAGCCCGCGCGTACAACAGAGAAAGGGCACTGGCTGCTGGAAGACACTTCCGGAGGAAGTAGGAGCCTGGAGGGTAAGTCTGGGCACCTCTAGCCGCCAGTTTCTATGGCCTTCTCTGACGACTTCTGGAGGGTGGTGCCCTGGTGTCTCCTGGCAGGGTTGGATGGGAAAGGTTTCCACCACTTCCTCTGGGTCTCTCGGGCGGCCGGGCCGGATTGTTCCTCAGGCGGCGCTGTAGGCGACGGGATGAGAGCGTCCCATAATGCACCAGCGCCCCGAGGGCTCTTGGGCGTTGTAGTTCCCGGAGAGGCGGGCTGTGGCGCGCTTGGGGAGGAAGTTAGGGGGGCTAGACGGGATCCAGAGGGAGGTCTGGACCTTCAGCTGGAAGAGGCGACCCCAGCGTGAACTGCTTGAGAACGTCCTGGGCCTGACATGAGCAGGGACCCACCCCTGCAATCTGACTACGGCGGGGTCCTCTGTGTCGCTCCTGGAGGTAGGACCAGATCCTATACCCACTTCGGGGGGTGGAACCGAAGTGTGACTTATCTCGCCGCAAAGTCTTTGTTTTTGTTTTTTGAGACAGAGTTTTACTTTGTTGCCCTCGGTAGAGTGCTGTGACGTCATAGCTCACAGCAACTTCAAATTCTTGGACTCAAGAGACCCTCTTGCCTCAGCCTCCCATGTAAGTAGCTGGGACTACAGGCGCCCAACACAGCGCCCGGCTATTTTTAGAGAGCGGGTCTCACTCTGGCTCAGGCTGGTCTCTAACCTGTGAACTCAGGCAATCCACCCGCCTCGGCCTCCCAGAGTGCTAGGATTACAGGCGTGAGCCACTGTACCCAGAAATGGGAATAGTTATAATCCACTCCACAGGGAGATTCTAACGTCTGTCCCTGAGAGGAAATGAACTGGGCAGGCTTCAGGGATGGGATCCTGAGGCCCCTAGTTCCCTCAGTCTTTGGCCCTCAAGTACCTACCGGTCTGGCCCACAACTTGCAGAGGCCCTGTACTGCTTGCTCTCACAGAGCCCCCAAGATAGAACCTTGGTCCCCACCTCTGTAGCCCCTCAACAGCCTGTGAACAATTTTCTTGATTGTCGCCCTATTCACTTAATTTACAGACACTCTGAGGGTAAAGGGACAACTTGGGGAGCTTTTAAGAACAGCCTGAGTCTTTCTTGTTCCCATGGTGGCCCCAGCACCTAACACAGGACGGAGCATGCAGTGAATGCTTAATAAATGCCCTTCAAGTGGCTCACTCCTGTATTCCTAGCACTCTGGAAGGCCAAGTGGGATGGATAACCTGAGCTCATAAGTTTCCGACCAAACATGAATAAAAATGAGACACCATTTCTAAAAACATCTGGGCGTTGTGGTGAGTGCCTGTAGTTCCAGCTACTTGGTAAGCTGAAGCAAGAAGATCACTTGAACCCAAGAGTTTGAGGTTGCTGTGAGCTATGATGCCACAGTACTCTACTGAGGGTGACAAAATGAGACTCTGTCTCAAAATAAATAAATAAATAAACATCTGTCAACTGATAACTGCAAGGCTAGAAAATGACCTTTACATCCATCATCTAATCATAGCTGCCTGACTTCATCCTGAGGTAATAATAGCAGCTGTTTAACCCTGATTTATGCTTCTGAAATTTATCAGATCTTAAGACTCAATTGACAGTGTTTGTTTCAAATAGATTCCTAATTCCTTCTCTGGAGATTATGATTCAGAGAGATCTAGGTACAGATTAGGAAACTTTCACAAGCCTGCACTGAGAAGGAAAACGAATCAGATTGGAAACACCAGAGTGGAAATGGTAGGGATTGAGGAAAATAAAACACAAGAGAAGACACAGAGACAAAAGATAGGCAGGAAGTCTCATGCAGCTGATGACTGCAGCCAGCATGAAAACACAAAATCAGCTTTATTTTATAGTATCTTGGGAGGGTTGTTTATGGGGGAAGTAGCATAGACAAAAGACATATTTTTGGTTTTACAATATGATTGGAAAAGTAAATTTTATCAAAAACAAATCATCTTGCTAATGGTTTTTACTTAACTTCGTTAGCATCTGTTAAAAGGTAAAAAGGGAAAGATCTAAGGATTTCTGCATAGTTCCTAAAGATTAACTAGACAAAGAAAGAGCTATGTGACTTCTGGCACAGGGAGCATGGAGAAAGGAATATTGTTGTTTTAGTAAAGGAGAAGCAGTTGGGAGTTCTCCAGGCTGTGGGAGGGGTGGGGGCCCTGACACCTCAGGCCTGCTCTCCTCAGGAAACTGTATATCACATACACAGCTTGCTTCAGCTTACCTTCTAAGACTCAGGGATTTGGGAAACTCTCATCCAAAACTTTTATGTATCAGGCATTCATATTGGTCTGCAGTCAGTGCTCCCAGTGCTAGTCTGTGTGGTGGGATCTATTATTTCCCACATTTTGCAGGTGAGAAAACTAACAGGGCGATTAAGGAACTAAACACAACTAATCCCTAAAAGTATGGCCACTACACTGAACTGTAATTTTATTTTATTTTTTTGAGACAGAGCCTCAAGCTATTCCCCTGGGTAGAGTGCTATGGCATCACAGCTCACAGCAACCTCCAACTCCTGGGCTCAAGCAAGTCTCCTGCCTCCGCCTCCCAAGTAGCTGGGACC